GAGGAAGATTAATCCTGGGCTAACATCCATGCCCATCTTCCTCTATTTTATATGGGATGCTGCCACAGCATGGCTTGACAAGCAGTGCGTCGGTGCACGCCCGGTGTCTGAACCCACAAACCCCGGGCCACTGAAGCGGAGTGTGCACTTAACCCCTATGCCACTGGGCCGGCCCCAAGGGAAACTATCTTTGACACCTTAGACTTAAATAACTATATTAGTTTTTTTTTAATTGCTACATAAATTACCACGAATTTAGCAAGTTAAAGCAACACCCATTAATTAGGTCACAGTTCTGTAGGTTGGAAGTCTGGCACAGCATGGCTGGGTCCTCTGCTCAAAGTCTCACAAGGCTGAAATCAAGGTGTTGGCTGAGCTGAGTTCTCATCTCCAGGCTCTGGGGAAAAATCCTCTTCTCAGCTCGTTGTTGTTGGCAGATTCAGTTCCTTGCGTTCGTAGGATTGAGGTCCCCATTTTCTTACTGGCTACCATCTGGGAGCTGCTCTCAGCTTTTAGAGGCTGACCTCTGCCCTTGCCACATGATCCCCTTCCTCGTCTGCAACCAATTGGAGAAAACTTTCTGCTTTTAAATGGTTCATTTGATTAGGTCAGACCCACCGGAGAAATCTCCCTATGTTAAAGTCAACTGATTTGAGACCTTGATTAAATCATAGCAGTGCCTATGTGTTTGTTTGAATAACTGAGAGAAGATGTGTGTACACCGGAAGCCAAGAATCTTGGGGGAACCATCTTAGAATTTTGCCTACTACAATAACATACACTTTTTTTCTTTCTCCTATACTGCTTTATTTTTCTTCATAGCACTATCTACACTATATATTTTCTGTTTATTTGGTTATGTTTTTATCTTGCTATACACACTAGAATATAAGTTCCTGACAATAGAGACTATGTTATTTTTGTTCAGTATTGTATTCCTAGCACCTATGACAGTGTTTGGCATGTTGTAGATGCTCAATTAGTATTTATTGAATGAACCAATTAATAAAAAAGATATTATGGCATATATATATATATATATATATTTTTTTTTTTTTTTTTTTTTTTTTTTTTTTTTTTTTTTTTTTGCTGGGAAAGATTCGCCCTGAGCTAACATCTATTGCTAATCTTCCTTTTTTTTTCCTCCCCCCCCCAAAGCCCCAGTACATAGCTGTATATACTTGTTGTAACTCCTTCTAGTTCTGTGTGAGCTGCCGCCACAGCATGGCTATTGACAGAGGAGTGGTGTGGTTCCACGTGTGAGAACTGAACCTGGGCCACCAAAGCGGAGCACCCAGTACTTTAATCACTAGGCCATCAGGCCTGGTTCAGTGGCATGTAATTTTAATGACAGCAGAGATGGGATTTTTGGGAAGGAAAAGGGTAGATTGAGCATATAAATGTTATTTAAGCTTTATCTCCGAAGGTACCAGAGTCTCAAATTATTCAGTGGCCTTTTTTTTGCCTGGAGGATTTCTTATTTGACTATTAACAAGTAAGTTGTGAGGGGCCGGCCCAGTGGCGTAGTGGTTAAGTTCGCTTGCGCCACTTCGGCAGCCCGGGGTCCGCAGATTCAGATCCTGGGTGCGAACCTACACACCACTCATCAAGCCATGCAAAGTAGAGGAAGTGTCCCATATACAAAGTAGAGGAAGATGGGCACAGATGTTAGCTCAGGGCCAGTCTTCCTCACCAAAAGAAAAAAAAAAAGTTGTGAGTAAGTAATATATAAATGTCCAGTAACTGGTGTATATAAGAAAAAGAAAATTAGGTTTTTTGCTTGCTAGTAATGATAACTAGCTTTCGTCTTTATATCTCCAAATAATGTATTCCTGTGAAATTTTGGAAATGGATGCCTTGTCATCTGGCAATACTCCTGATTTACCAACTTACTGAGATATTCCTGTGGCTTTCCATGTAATTGCTGTTCACAAACATCCAATTACTAATAGAGTAACAGAGTGAGGTCCATTATATGGACTTAACATAGCATACCAGACTAGAAAATTATATATTTCCCTCATTTTTAATACTTATTATTATATGTTTCTTTTAATGCACCCCTTCTACAGACAAAACTTACCAATGGCACTTCCAGTATGATTGTGCCCAAGCAACGGAAACTCTCGGCAAGCTATGAGAAGGAAAAGGAACTGTGTGTCAAATATTTTGAGCAGTGGTCAGAGTCCGATCAAGTGGAATTTGTGGAACATCTTATATCCCAAATGTGTCATTACCAACATGGGCACATAAACTCGTATCTTAAACCTATGTTGCAGAGGGACTTCATAACTGCTCTGCCAGGTATGTCTCTGGGTGTTTGTGAGCCATTAATTTGCCTGAAAGGTATGTTACAATGGTAATGGTAGTAGATCTTCAGGTATGCATTTCTATACATTTTAGGTATACATTTTAAAAGTCTTTATTGGCTTGATTTTTACAAACTGAATCCTTGAATCGTACCTTCTTGGGGTATAAATACAAAAAATCAAACTCTGGAAAGAGACTCCTCTTTTCCCTACCTTCTCTCTATCTCATGCCCTTCTAATCACCCTGTTTTCACCCACACATAGGTCCAAATAAAATCTTTTCAGAGATGTTATCTGGTTTGAGGTGTGTCTTTTATAATGTGTCTTAGTTTCAAGAAATGTTAACTTACACACTTGGGTTTGGATTTCTATGGAAATTTATCAACAGAATATTTAAATTGTAGGAATCAATAAGAAATATTTTTAATTGAGTATTTTAGAAAGAAAGGTATCTCAGGAGCCTTGTTGTAACATTAAATATGTAAATTCCAGGCTTTACAATTTCACTGTGCTCAGTAACCAAATAGCTATTGTAAACTATGTATATAAAAGTATATATATTTCTTAAAATATATATTTAAATATATACATACACTTAACTACATATGTATATACACACACACATACTTAAAATACTTTTTTTGGAGGGTGCTATGGTTGTTTTACTGAATGCTTGATGATGATCTAGGACACTACACAGGCATCAGTATTTGGGCAAAATGCTCTCTCAGGAAAGTATAAGGTTCTCATCTGTCGAAAGCTTATTTTAAAAGAAGAAAAATTGTACAAAGATGAGTGAGTCTGTAAATTTATCTTGGTTTTTGTTGTTGTTTCCTGATTATAGAAGTTATATTATAGGAAATTTAGAAAATTCAAAGGAGTTTAAAATATAAAAATAAAATTTCGAGGGGGCCAGCCCAGTGGCATAGTGTTTAAGTTCACACACTCCGCTTTGGCGGCCTGGGGTTCACAGGTTCGGATCCTGGGGGTGGACCTACACACCACTCATCAAACCATGCTGTGGTGGCGTCCCGCATACAAAATGGAGGAAGATTGGCACAGATGTTAGCTCAGGGCCAATCTTCCTCACCAAAAAAAAAGAAAAAAGAAGAATTTCCCGGAACCCTACCATTCAGAGAGAACTGCTAATGTGCATTAGTATTTTGGCATGTAGCCTTTCTATTTTTTCTAGATGTGTATATTTCCCTCTAAAGCTGGGATCATAAGTGTTTGTAACATATTTGTTCTTACTGTATTTTCTTAGTATTTTCCAAAATGTTTTTTAAAATATAATTTTTATAGTATTATGTATTCTTTGCGATGGCTGAAGCACATATTATTTAACTCCTTTATTGAACACTTAGGTAGTTTAAAATGTTTTTCCTGTTATAAACTATGCTGTGGTGGACATTCTTAATCATTAATCTTTTGGGCATCGTAGGAAAAAATGCCAGAAGTGGGATTCCTATATTAATGAATTATAAACATTTTTAAGGATTTTAATACATGTTCCAAACCAACCTTTAAGAAAAGTATACCAACTTATACCCTCCCCCAAACTGCATATTACCACTTTGCTTAATCTTTGCCACTTAATATCTTTTTCAAAAATGTGTTCTTCCAAAATTGGAATTTAACTTGCCCTTTAAACAAAAGAAATGCCTATTTATAGCTTAGAAATAACATTTTAAAACTGAATTTGTACCTATATCTTTTGTTAAATACAATAGATTTCTGCCCCCTCTTCACTCATTGGATTTTGTTTTAGCCATAGGCAAACAGTTTTCTTTGTGCGAACAGTCTGTGTGTACCTCATTACTGTGCTCTCCCCAATCACTGAGACATGTTACTATCTCAAGCATATACCACTAAGAATTGAATAGTTGTTGATTAGACTTGTGTATCCTTTGCCTAATACTGATCCCTCGTGTGTATCTGCTGACCACTTTATAAGATATTGAATCATCAGTCTAATGCTTTACGACCATTTTAACTTATAAACCTACACCATCTGGCTGCATTTAGTAAACCAAACTACTTCAAAAAATGCCTGTAATCCATTAATGTAATGGGTTTGTTTGGAGTGTTAGGTGAAATTACTTCCAAAGACTTATTATAGGGACACAGTGAAAGATTAGGAGCAATTTGATGGCAGCCATTAAAAACACAGGAATGCATTTTGGAAACTTCTGATGGTGTAGAAAGTTTCAATATAAAGATGCAGGAATTGTACCATCACTATATTTTGCATGAAGAACTAATTATTATATCTTTAATTGGCTTATAGTCATGTTCCTTTAATAAGAATTAGGTGATGGATGCCTCCATCTGCTTATGCTTAAATATGAACATGTGATGCCAGCCAAACAAGATCCATTTAATGCTTTCTTTTCCAAATATGCTGAAAAATGTGACTGATGTCCGTATAGTCTTTATAATTAGAATAATGTTTAAGCACATTTGTTGTTAATGACGTCCAAATGTGTCTTTGTATGATTCAGGAGAAAGGCACAAAATGAAATGCCGTATTCTCTTTCCTATTTGTTAAGTTTTTGCCTGAGGAAGTCAGAGTATGAAGGAATCCTTCTGCACTAAGTCATTAGCAAACCTCTGATATGTAACCTGTAAAGAGAAATAACTTTTAACGTTTTGTCTCACTTGTGAATTAGAACAGCAGCCAAAAGGTTTATTAGTGCAATCATCCTATTTTATAGGATCTATACCTCTGAGGCCTCAGTACAGATATGGGTGGTAGAGAATTTTAATTGGGAAGCCTATCCAGTTTACACAGCCCAAGATCTACTTCCACTCTTCCTCTGTACATCCTACGAAATAGTCTCTGAAATTCCAACCAAGTTATCTATTGGTCTTGGATTTTTTCATTTTTGGCCAACTGTCATTTAGGTTTTATAGTAGCAACTATTCTCAAATATAGTTTTTTTTTAACATCTGAAATTAAACTCATCCTTGAACTTAAACATACTTCTCTGTCTTTCCTCTTGGGATGTTCCTATACCAATCTGTATTTCCTTCTTCTCTCCTTTCTGCATGCCCCAAATTCTATAACCCAGCACATTCTGACTTAGTGCCTCTCCCCCAGTACATTTAAAGGATATTTCTTTTACTGAACAGCTTTGAAACTGCAGTAGTAATAGAAACAGAATGAGAAATGGACCTAATATAGCGATTTGGGGGGGCCTGAATCACAGAGTTTGAGATGCCATCCATAGAACATCCCCTAGTGCTGAAATCCATATAGATAGATGTGAATTGTTTTCTGGAATCCTTTTTATTTTTAATGTCTTGGGGGGTTTGCTTGTTGTTAGCTTTAACTTCTGTATCTAAAGGAAGATGGAAAATACTGTTCATTTCTGCAACCTTATGGAAAAATCATTGACACTCATTTTACCCAAGTCTCTATTTGAAAAAGAAACTGGACAACACCAGGGACAGTGATGTGCCTTCATAGCAGAATAAATGCTGTTCTGTTTTAAAGGGCCTTTTGTAAAAAATCATTCACCACCACCTATGTTCTTTTTCTTTGCCCCCTCCCCCCACTGAAAGCTCGGGGTTTGGATCACATTGCTGAGAACATTCTGTCATACCTGGATGCCAAATCACTATGTGCTGCTGAACTTGTGTGCAAGGAATGGTACCGAGTGACATCTGATGGCATGTTATGGAAGAAGCTCATTGAGAGAATGGTCAGGACAGATTCTCTGTGGAGAGGCCTGGCAGAACGAAGAGGGTGGTGAGCCTTTTAACTTTCTTACTATTATAGAACTTCAGGACCTGGCCATTCAGAGTTATTGGAATATTGCTGGGAACCAGTGAGACTGCTTATCATTTAATACAGTGATTTTGCTGGTTTATAGGAAAAAGTGTAAAATAGTGGTTCATGTACTCAGCAGTTTTTCTTCTGACCAGTCACTCATAAATGACATAATAATGTGTTAATACTACTTTGCAAAAAATAATGAAAAACTGACCAGCCCTCCCATTTAAAGCATTTGCATTCTCTGGCCGGAAATTGATATCCTGAAAAAGGTCTGATGGGCAATTTATAAGGCAAGTGGATGACTTGGAGTCACACAGAAGCCATCAGATCCAGCTTTCCCCCAAAAGCAATCCAGAACAAATAATTATTTTCTCCTTCAGAAGATTTCTTGCCTTTACCCCATGCCTGTAGTGTTTTACCACCTTTGTAATCAAAATTATTTTTATGCCAAACTAAAATAAGAACTCTAGCCATCAGAGTGAAAAATGGAATTTAGTATAAATCATTATTTCTTCATAAGACTCTTATCTTTTCAAGATTTTACTGCCTAAATTCCTTAAGGCATTATATAGTTAGCAGCCTAGGAGACTTCACCAGTTTTGCTGCTGTTGTTCTGTTAATGTGTGGTACCATTTCATTAGAACTTCTGGAAGATGTCTTCTGTATATAATTTTCTCTCAGAGAATGTCTCTAGAATGTCACTATAAGAAAGTCGGGTGTGAATATTTCAAAAATAAAATAAAGGTGACATATTAAGTATTTTAGTTGATAGATATGCACCAGCAGGCATATGTGTGCTCAGAGATACCCTGAGCAATTAATTTTATCGATTGTTTTTCTTGGATCATAAAGAGATATAAAACAGTTAAGAATGATCAGCTTTTCTTAGCAATCTTCATAAAAATATAGTTGGCTCCCTTTTCTATTTTGCATCTTTGAAATTCATTAATATGTAATAAACATAATGACCTCTAAATATTATACCAAGTGCTTCAAGAGATTTCTGTCATTCTGGCTATTAGGAAGACTAAAATTTCTCTCAAATTAATTAAAGCAAGCAAATTCCAGGCAATTCTTTGGCTATATAAAAATTGCATAAATGAAAGCATATTCTTATTTCTCCTTCCCAAATATGTTTTTCTTATTTTCACTTATAGAAAAATAGAAACCTTATCTTTCATTACTAATTTCATACTTTGGAAATAAATTATTTATTGTATAAAAAAGCAAATAAGTTATACAGTTGTATGGCATTCAACGTCTATCGTTCTGCTAAGCGTGCCAGAGCCAGCCTTAGAAATAGAGCAGGCAGTTGCTTACGTGGGAAAATTTTAGGGCAGCTAGAAATATTCCTCTACCCCTCAGGGACAAAAAAAGAAGAGAAAAGAAAAAAAGAAAAGAAACTCTACTCCAAATAACTCTTGACCTGAAATTTCAGTTACAGAGATTCATTCCCATGGCTATAAAGGTTTTGTTCCCTGTTAAAATATACTTTGTTCCCATTTAGACTGTATATGACAGGAAACCTTTATTAGACGTTGGGACTTGACAAAGTCTTCTTTTGAAGGCAGAGAGAACAAGAAGTAGATGGTCAGATCTTGGCAGATGCATGTGAAAATGCCATAGGTAGACGTAGGCTCCACAATTTTCCTTAGGATAGGCACTAAACAGCAAGATCTGTTATGTTAGTTACAAAGAAAAAAACAAATAAAATTATTGAAAAGATGGCTTTTTGGTCTTTTAAAAGAGTATATGAAAGTATAGCTGAGAAATAATCCAGGATCTAGCACTGATTATCACTCTTTTCCCTATCTCTTCAACCAAGGAACCCGTTCTTGCTCTTTTGAGTATCCTTCAGAGTTCTGACTATATTCCTTTGTCTTTGGCCACCTTTATCATCTTAGCTTGATATAGACCCATGTAATTACAAGTATTTGTCCACCCCATCAAGAGCTCCTCCAGTATCCCCTTAACTTTCTGTGGCTGCTTCTGTTTTTACATGTTGCGTGTCTTCCTGTGTTAGTTGTCCTCTTCCACTTTAAAAAAAAAAAAATTAATCTATGATCAGTTTCTCATTTTCGTCTTTCAAGTTGTCTTACCAAGCCTACTATGTCAATAAAGTCTTTCTGTTGTACTTTTCCCCAAATGCTGTTTTTGAAAATTTCTTGCATTTCCTCCAACCAAAAATAAACAGGTAAATACAGTTTTCTAATAAAGCTTTGGGTTTAACTCCCACTCTGCTATTGTATTTTATATCTAGATGAATTTGACAGTCTGCCCCTAGGACATGAACTCTGTCATTTTTGCTCTTGAATAATACTGAATATGCTCTCTCTGCTCAGTAATGGTAACTCTTAAAAGTATAATAAAAGACCACTTGGGAAAAGTCTAGTTTCTTAATCAGCAGATCATGTTATATGATAACATTCTGAATTTAATATTTAGCATTTATTATGTCCTCACACTCTCAGAGGTACTAGGCATTTCACATTGAAGTGATCCCTGTTGTCAAAGAACTTCCATCATAAAAGGTTTTGACTTACAACATAAATATATACTGAGAAACCAGTTTTCAACACCTAGCCACCCTTTTTTATAGCACCTTTGATTTGAAGAAATTCAGATACTTTAGCAAAGCATGGTAAATGCAGTGAGATAGAAAATGAGATCAGAGGTTTCTGTGATTTCTCTCTCTCAGGATGTAGAGATAGTTGCATTGCATATGAAGAAAATCCTGGGGTGCCTGAATACGATTGCCAGAGATTAAAAGGAGGACAGGAATCTAAGGAATGGTGGGCATTGAAAGACAGTAAAGAGTGAGGGCTCTGAAGTCAGACTTAGATTCAAATCCCAGGTCTGCTCACTAACTGTGTGACCTTGGGCAAGTTGCTTAGCCTCCCTGACATTTGATTTCTTTATCTGCAAAATCAGTATAGTGATTCCTACCTCTATTAAAGGATATTGAAGTTGAAATTATTAAATTATAATTATTAACCAGATTTAGAATCTCTTCATTCAAAATCTGTTGTTTACCTGCAATGTGTTTATAGAATAAGATTGTTCAAAGAAGTATATCTCTAAGCTAGAATTATTTCATAATGTGTCTTGTTTGCCGTTTTCTTTATGTTAGTGTATCATGTTTCTTGCTCCTATTAGTCCCTTTTTAAAAACTATTATTTTAGCTTCTCCATTGCAGATTTCCCTTTCTGTATCACAGAAGTCAGAGCCAGCTACCTTCCTGATAGGAAATTTTTTCAACTAATTTTCAAGGTGTATAATAGGAAGAGGGCAGGGGGGAAGCGCTCCTAGAGACATCAAACAATTAATTATATTGTAATGGAGCTATAGAGGGAGGAGTGGATGACTGGCCCAGAGAAAACATGATTTCTCTGGTGCCAGGATTACACTCAGAGGCATTTCTGCCTGTCTCCACTTTGCAAGGCACGGTGCCAGTGAGAACAGCAGTTAGTACACCCATAGTGGGGTTTACTAGCTTCCACACCGTGTTTGGTGGGTTCTTAACTTCAGGATGAGGAATTAAATTTTTTACCCAGCAGGAAGTGATTGCCATTTACTGATTTTTTTTTTTTGTAGCAAAGATCTAGCTTGGGATATGAGTATTCCAGGGAAGTGCCGTCATAAGGAAGGAGATGCTAACAAATGTTGCTCACTGGAATCAAGGAAAGGCAGTAAAATGCATGTATGTATGTACGTAGCCAGGAACACATCTGTGAAAGTCAATTTCATGCCTTAGACTTGACAGCACAGTGCTCTTAGGCATTTCCTTTCATCTTCTTCCATACCTGCTGCTGGACACTCCTGTGATGCCTTTGTTTTCTGTCAAAATGAACTGAATTGCTCCTTTTAAAGCATAGCTACACTGATCACCAGCAGCCTGGGTGCCTGAGCTGCCAACACACCTTACTCCACAATAAATGAAGACTAGAAAAAGTGATCTCAATGACAGAGGCATTCCTGCTGCCCATGATGCTAGGCTCCACTGACACTGGCACAGCTTTACTCAGTGAAAAAAGACTGTGGGGCATGTGCCTAGTTCAGAGGTAGTAGATACCATCACTAACAAGATTTTCAAAAGATAAGGCCAATGAATCTGTCTATACAGAAATCTGACAGACCAATAGATGAATTCTGATGATATGTATTCGTTTGGCTGTTGACGTTGTAATATTCCTGAAGGCCTGAGACTCTGATGTTCTACACGGAAATCATCAAGTTTTACACAAAAGCAAATCAATGTTGACCGAATTCCCTAGAGCCCAGAAAGTTACTCCTTGATGTGGGACTCCTGAAATCGAGCTTAACTTCACACCTCTTCAGGCTAGTTAGGGAGGTTATATGGAATGGTAACTGTGAAAACACTATGAAGAAATATGAAGCTCCTTGTAAATGTATAATATTATGATTTTTATTGGGAAATATGTGTTATTTTTTTAGGGGACAGTATTTATTCAAAAACAAACCTCCTGATGGGAATGCTCCTCCCAACTCTTTTTATAGAGCACTTTATCCTAAAATTATACAAGACATTGAGGTAAGAATCTATGTATATTTGGATATTTGCCAAATACTAGAGAATCATCAGCATTCTTCAGTAATAGCATTGTTACAGCAAACGCATTAAGGTTTATTGATGTGGGTTAAAAATCAATTTCTTTACAAGTGAATAGGGTAGGTAAAATATAGTAAATTGCCAAGCAAAAATGTTAAAGCTTTTAAAAATTGTTTACTGATAGATGAGACAGAGAGAGGGAATATCATGTCGTCTTACAATATCTGTGAGACTGTTAAAGTTACACTTAGAAGCTGATATTCAAGTATCTCCTGAGTTGAGCCTCCATGGAAGTTCTCTGGTAGAAATGGCCACCACATTAAGAAGAGCACTGAGCACATAACCTCATGTGGTTCATAACTTGCCCTCTGTTGGTGAGCTGTCTCTTTCCATTAGGTTTATTATTTAATTGTACGAGTTATATGCAGGAGAGTTCTAGGAAATAAATCTTTAATTACTTTGCAAATGGAAAAATGTTTTACAATTTTAAATAGTGGCCTTTTGAAAACTTTTTTTTCAGTTTGCCTTAAGTTCTGTATATTCAATAGAGGGAAGCATTGAGCATTTGTCATTGGTTGCCATGAAAGTCAAATAAGAGTTTAGTTCTGGTCTTTTCCTAATTACTATCTCTTCACCATTCCTACTTCTCAGACAATAGAATCTAATTGGAGATGTGGAAGACACAGTTTACAGAGAATCCACTGCCGAAGTGAAACAAGCAAAGGAGTTTACTGTTTACAGTATGATGATCAGAAGATAGTAAGCGGCCTTCGAGACAACACAATCAAGGTGAGGTCTCTTCAGTTGTGGGAGGGTAGCTGAAGGAGCGAGGGTGACCACATTCATAAAGCAATCCAAAGCATAAACTCTAAGCGTTATTTCCAGAAACTGAGAGTTTTAGATTGTTTCCAGTCCCAAAGCCAAAATCATTTCCTTAAAGGACAGATACCTGCTCCCTGCCATCCCCCTGCCCAGAAGCACATACAAATGGATAGTGCTAGGGTTAAATTCTCTTCTTGAAGTGCACTGAATGGGATATTACTCATTTTGCCCTCAGATAATTATAGACTACCTCTGTTCCTTAATGAAAAGGATAAAGTCTGCATTAGTACTGAAGCCACATATATATAGGTGCTTAGCTATACCTGTCGAAAAGAATGCATTCCACACTACTATGGGCTTTGATTCTTTTGGGGAATAAAATGCATAATAGAGCCAGCAAGTCTCTGCAGCATCCCATTGTCACAGTGATCAAAAGGATCTTGTTTGTCATCCTAGATCTGGGATAAAAGCACATTGGAATGCCAGCGAATTCTCACAGGCCACACCGGTTCTGTCCTGTGTCTCCAGTATGATGAGAGGGTGATCATAACTGGATCATCGGATTCCACAGTCAGGTAGAGAATTTCAAATGGTCTTTTGAATTCTGAAATATCAGATCTGCTCTGTTGTTTGTCATAAATAGTAATTTTATATATATCCCCATGAACACAGCTCTGAAACTTCATAACTAAAAAAGAATAAACCTCCATCATTGTGTCAGTCTAGAACTAGACAACTTGATTTAGGCATGATTAAGGTAAGTTTACATTTTTGTGCATTTAAGAAACTACGTATTCTGTTTTAATTTGGGAGAATGGTCCACTATAGAAACTTGGTAAACCTTGCATTCCTTACAAAAACCACCTCACAGGGGAATGACAGGAATGGAATGAAGCCTTCCTTTCAGGTGGTTATAACTGTAGTGCAGGCATGCATTATCTCCTTGAAAATGTGTACAGGTGAGCAATGCTTTCTCTTTGCCAGCCCCTCCCCTGCTCTCCCTGCAGTTTTTAATTGCAACCTTCACTCAGGGAGGGGCCTTCAATTTCCAGAGGCATTAGTGATTTGATGACACAGCCATTATGCTGCTGGAGTCCAGTGTAGCTTGAGTTCGGGGTACCAACAGCACTGCTAGAAATCTCTGTTAGGAATTTTGCCTTAAGCTAAAGGATTTAGCAAACATAATGCATCAAAAGTAACTTGAAAAAAAACAGAAAAAAAGGCAGTTAACTGCATTGTTAGATTCTCTGAAGTTAAATGTTTACCATTCCAGGTTATCCTTTGTGAGTAGAAAAGGCTGTTCCTGTTTCTTGTCTTTTGACTTAAAGGCATAGCAAACTCAGTTCTTATTATAGTTATCGACATTTAACATTTATTGGTGCTTGTGGTGTGCCTCAAGGAAGCTGAAACATTGTAGAGGCTATCATTTATAGGATAAGGGAAAAAATTATGTTCTAAAAGGGGGTTAAACTGGAAAAGGAAATAAAATATGTTATAAAAACTAAAGTAAATATACAAAAATAGAGTAATCAAAGTAAAATATATCATCACACAAAATTCTCAAGCTATCTAAGGGTCCTGCACTCTGCTTTGCAGCCCATACTCACAGTGGGATGGCTATTCGTGATTCCTACACCCATTCAAAGCACAGAAATAGGGCGTTAGACTTAGGGTCTAGGTAATCTTGGGCCTTGACCTGTGTGATGAAATCTGAGATCTAGGGTCATCAAGCTCAAATCCACAGTACTAAGTCAGTCTGTTACAGAGGCTTCTTGGCCTATATCAGCTCTAGTTCCTGAGGGCTATCCGTGGGACAGTAATGCTGCTGTTATTTTGTGTGTGTGTGTGTGTGTGTGTGAGGAAGATTAGCCCTAAGCTAACATCTGTTGCCAATCCTCCTCTTTTTGCTGAGGAAGACTGGCCCTGGGCTAACATCTGTGCCCATCTTCCTCTGCTTTATATGGGACGCTGCCACAGCAAGGCTTGACAAGCAGTGCGTCAGTGCGCGCCTGGGATCCAAACCTGCGAACCCCGAGCCGCCACAGCAGAGTGCGCACACTTAACCGCTAGGCCACTGGATCCGCCCCACTAATGCTGCTGTTATTAATCAGATTCCCAGTTTAAAATGTATCTCATTAATGGTATCAGATTGAATGTCAGAAGTTTTTATAATAGTGTTGAAGTCTGGGTGTAATTAGTAGGTGATGGTGACTGCATTCTTATACCCCACAACTTGCCCAAATTTCAAGTAGTGTATCTTCAGGATTTCACACTGGCAGCATCCCATCCCAGCCCTCTAACTACCACTTCCCCGATGTCCATCAGTACTGTTTACCTCAGCTTAACCTCAAAGCTGCAAAAGAAGAGTAGGGTGTAACATTAACTATGAAAATGGAGTGGGAGGGGAAGGGAGCACTGAGGTCAAATACCAGTAATAGATTGTAGCATGAGTACCATCAAAATGTCAGATAACCTTCTTAATGTTGTTTGTTCCAGGGTGTGGGATGTAAATACAGGTGAAATGCTAAACACGTTGATTCACCATTGTGAAGCAGTTCTGCACTTGCGTTTCAATAATGGCATGATGGTGACCTGCTCCAAAGACCGTTCCATTGCTGTGTGGGATATGGCCTCCCCAACTGACATCACCCTCCGGAGGGTGTTAGTTGGACACCGAGCTGCCGTCAATGTTGTAGACTTTGATGACAAGTACATTGTTTCTGCATCTGGGGATAGGACTATAAAGGTAATAAGGCATTTTTCAGTATGTCCCCAACTTAGAATAAGGGAGTTCATGTGAAAATCTCATCAAGGGCAATTTCATATTTCAACGTCACTGTAGAATAACTTAATATTTAATTCAGATACTAGTCTATGTGTAAAAATGTAATGAGTGAGACAAGTTGTTTGACAATTTTGGTTACATATTTTATTCCTATAAAGAGTACTGAGTGTGAGAAGGGCAGGGGTAAATTTAGGGTCAAGAAAATGTGTCTACAAGACCAGACTAACTCCATAAGAGTAAATCAATTTGAGGAATTCTCATGCGATAGCAGCCAGCTACAAATTAGCCCTATATTACTGTGAATCAAACTTGTCATTTTTTTGGTTTGGTTTAGTTTGAGAAGTTGACTTCCCCCTATTGGTTCAGTGCTATTTTCTCTTTTAGGTATGGAACACAAGTACTTGTGAGTTTGTCAGGACCTTAAATGGACACAAACGCGGCATTGCCTGTTTGCAGTACAGAGACAGGCTGGTTGTGAGTGGCTCGTCTGACAACACTATCAGGTGAGCAGCAGGTGCCCTTTCCCAGAAGGGGTCGATATTATCCTGCCATTCATTGTTTGTGCACAGATCAAACAAATCTTCAACTGTGTTATGTGTATAATAAATATTTTTCCTTTCTGTAGCTTCTTACAGGTCAAAAGTTTGCCCCAAGCAGAGGCAGCACAGCAAAGCCTTTTGTTGATGTGTTGCCTTCCTGTAATAGTTTTATCACCAGATAGACCTATTTAAAAGGTACTGCTTGAATGAGGAAGTGGGCAAGAGAGATAAGTAGATGGAAGTTGAAGGCCCCTCTCTTTAAATTTCTCCTGTCTGCAGTTGAAAAGTGCTAATAAATAGCAAAAGGCCATTTCTCTCTGCCACTGTTCTAAAAAAAGGAAAAAAAGATTTATTTCCCTACTAGAAATTGTGCATTTTGTTTTCTTAGCATTACACAATTGGCCAGGGAGTTACTGGTCTCTGAAATTATGAAGAATCCACAAATTGAAGTACTTTGTGGTGTTTTCCCTTCACAAGGATGAATGACACAGATACGAATAGAATTTGGACGATTTATCAGTCTTTTCCCTTCCTTCAAAGAAGTACTAAGAGGATGAAAAGGCCATTAAAAACCCAACAGATAGAGCTATTGTTATATCTAAGGAAATGATCATTCCTAAAATCATTTGGATTGGTCTGAAAGCAGACAGTTTTTTAAATTAGTATATAAAAGTTTTTGAGAACTTAGTCTTTCTCATATAATGGAAGCACAAACTGTTCTGGATAGTGGGTGAAAGCAGAGAGTGTCCTCAGTGAAAGAGGTGGACATGCCTTGTGAAGGCAGGGTGTCACTGACATACTGCATCTCATTCTTATTGGTGATTTCAGGAAGCATTACTTTTCTTGGCTTGGTCAATTATCCAAAGCTTTGTGCTTTGAAAATATATGCTTTGTTTGAACTTAAATCATACATTTTTCTGCCTGAGTTATATGGCAGAAAGGAAATAAATTACATTGAAAGCAATACATTTTTGTATGGGTATTGATTGATTTTATTGTTGTGGATTTTTAAAAGACATATGAAGTATATTATTATAACATTCCAAGCTTAGAAAAGAATACATGAAAATTCACTGGACTCAATTTTCTCTTCCAGATTATGGGACATAGAATGTGGTGCATGTTTACGAGTGTTAGAAGGGCATGAGGAGTTGGTGCGCTGTATTCGATTTGATAACAAGAGGATAGTCAGTGGGGCCTATGATGGGTAAGTTTGCTAAAAGGGTTAAAAAAAAATCTACATCTTAATCTCTCCTGCCCTAGGATGTTAAATATAGCCTTTCCTTGTCTCTGTACGATTACAGATTTCACAGAAAGGATCCAATACAGTATTTCTTGTGTCTAATCTACGTGTTCACCTCTCCTTTGTTTACTCTTTTCCAAAATATTCTTTGCAATCATTTAATTGCACTTGCTGGCTCATGTTTTTCATTAATATTTTGATTATTTGGTTATATAGTTGTCTGTTTTGCCCTAAAAAAAAGCAAAGAACTGGACAAACAGAATAACAGGATGTGCATATAAAATAGTGACTTATTAATCAAACTGAAACATTTGGAGGGCAGTACCTTTGGGGCTTAGTGTGGTAGGGTCTTGCATTTTGATCTCTTTGAGTGATTCCTAAAAGTGCAGCTCTCTTGTTTTCACCTCCTAGAATTTCCATTATAATGAGTAACTTTATTTCAGTAATCTTTATTATCTTCCTCTGCTTTGAGTCAGCTACCACTGTCATACCCTTGGAAAATTTTTCAGAGTGTGATGACATGTTCCAGCTAGGTCCAAGGTTATATTTTCTCATTGCCTGGTTTTGATCTGTAGCCACCTTTCTTGAGTTTTGTCTGTTATTTACCCTGAGGAGACATGACCTATAATTGATTTTTAGAAGGGCTAAACTTTTCTTATTTAAATCAAAATATGAGGATTTGCTTATACAAACTGCAGAGCTCTTAAATGGACCCCAGTCCTCTGGTACATTTGACCTGGGCCATTCTTAGAATTGACCATAAAGAAGATGCCTCAGAGTTGTAGGTTTCTAGGTCTAAGCGACCTCTTACATCATTAAGAGCTCTAATGTATAAGATCTCTTCTTGGCCCCAAAGTATGGTGTAACTTTACCATTCACTATCTTCAGTTTGCTTAAAGCTAACCTGTTTCTCATCTTTAGGTTAATCACGTACATTTTCCCCTGTTAAGACCAATAACCTCTACCCAAGAATGAATGCAAGAACCAAGTCTCCAAAACAAAAAAGTTTTTATATATTCCTGTGAGCCGCATTATTATATAAACTATGTTCACCATACATATTTAGTGGCAAGACTTTTTTTGCTATTCTTCCTTTGTTGCCTTAATTTTGCT